CGTGCGGACGTGCGAGCGTGCGGGCGGGCGCGCCATATACAAACCCGATCAAAGATTTTGAAGAGTCTGAGGATGCATAATATAATGTACAAAGATATTTCTTGTAGAAGCAGAAATAATTTTCGTCTTATTTTTAACTCAGGATATCTCTCACTCAGGAATATGTCGTAAAAAGTTCTCGCAAGTTGTGGGACACTTTGTATATGAAATATATTGTAACAAATATGAAAATCATATATATGTATATGCGTTTTATTAATTTCTTTTTATTAATTTTTTTTTTATTCTTTTTGGTTTTTTAATTATTGAATATATTTAATGATATGTATATGCGTGCATGCATGTGTGCATTTATATAAGGCTGATGGAATTTACTTATTCACAAAATGTTACATAATAATCTACATTTAAATTAAAATAAATTTACAAAAAATAAGAGTCAAACCCGCATGCAATATTTCTGCAGTATTTCTGTAATAATCAAGCATCTTTTAAACATTCAGTTCCATTGAGCTCGTAAGATGTTAGAAAATCACGATATATAAACTTAATACTCGGAACTTTATACTTTATTTTTTTAGAAATGCTTGAAGATTGCATTGAATGGCTTTATTATTAATGGATATATAGTACAACATATTTCAAGCTTAATAAAATTCAAAAGAACTATCTCTAATATTCTTGTAAAAAAATTTATTATCCTTATTGCAATAAGTAAAAGTTTTGTTAACAATAACTTTCGTATGTTCATTTCCAGAATATGATCTAATTTTTATTTTAAACATTAAAAAATTATTATGCATATGATATTACGTCATAATATATTCTTAATCTTAAAAAATGTTCAATGATTTTTTTATAAGTTATAATATTTATGATTTATAACTATTAAAAAATAATGACTAGAAAAAATGTTGTATGTATAAAGAGACTTGTTAAAAGATACACAGAGATGTGTAAAATTACAAGATGATTTCCTTGATATTGTCAAGAACACTTTCTGGAGATTCAATAATCTCCAGAAGATTTAACACTCTGATGTTTATTAAAAAGTTATTAACAAATCAAATTTTATATAAAGTAAGATTTTGATAATTATTTAGAGACTTTCCGTCCTTCGATCTGAATAATTTTGAGATATATTATCATAATCATCACCGTGACTACAATATTCTGAAAATTTCAGGTGGCAGTAATTATTTATTAACGTAAGAAGGTTGCAAAATTTATATTAGTGTTATATATGTAACTTGCTAATATGCATATAGATATAATATAAGCGTGAGTTTACTCTTCCCTCTACTTCTCCACTTAAGAAAAACTTGCTCTAACCAATCCGATTTGATCTGTAAGCAGGGGAAGAACGATATAGATTTCTGCTTTGCATGAAGACTCAAAAAGATCTATAATTGTATTATTCTACATGAGTTCCGATCTTCTCCGATTTCTGCGTATATTATGTCTGTACACGTATTAACAAATATATTCTTCAGCACTAATATAAATTGTTATATTTAAACTTCTTTTATTAACAACTTTTTAAATATTGAACAACAATTAAAGCTTTCCAGAGATTATTCAGGAGAGTGCTTTTGACAGCATAGTCAAGGTTATTGAAATTGATAAAGAAGTTTTACTAGAAACTTTTGCGCAAATATTCAATTGCAAATATTGTTTGCTGATTTTGAATAATTTTTGAAACAAAAATCTACTGGCGTTTTAGATTTTTGTGGTCTAGTTTCTACATAACCACTTTTAAACAATAGCATATTTAAATAAATTTACAAATCTTGGTGAAAAAAATTAAAAATGACTTAATATAATACGTAAATTAATATAATAAATAATCGTAATTTTGAAATATTATTTCTCAAGTTCAGTTTTATATCAAAATCTAAAATGACAGTATATGAACAATTTTTAATAAAATCTCTATTAAACCTATATATTTGTTACAGCATATTTAATAATTGTGTATGTGTATACGCGCCACATATACACACAATTAATTATTAATATTAAAATTTAATATTAGAACTACTGTATAATTATTTATACAGTAAACCTCACACATATTTTCTTATGGGAAACAACTATATTATATTTTAGATGGGCTATCGATACAACGCTTTACATATAGCAGCAAAAAATGATAAGCCGGAAATATGCGAATTCATATTGAATACCGTTGGAGACTCCAAATTTATGCAGTTGTATTATGGAGAAAATAAATGTAAAACTTATTTAAATTTTGCGCAAATGATGCAAAATTTTTATTTAAATACACCAGATAAAGGACTCAATGAGACACCGTTGCATTTTGCTGTTAAATTCGGTTTTAAGGATGTTGTTCGGGTTCTTGTCTCCTATTCTCAATGTATTAAAATCTCACCAAATAAGTATAATCTTCTGCCTGTAGATGTACGTTTTGAATTCTTTATTTAGTATTATTTTATAAGTTTACTATGAATGTTATCTAGTTTTTTTTCGTTTTTTTTGTGTGATGTGCAAAGACAATATACTTTCAAAAAAGATCTTTTTTAAATAGAAATAATAGGAGAAGCAAAATGCAGTAAAAATGTCCTATTGTGTTAAAAATATATTCAGTTAAATAAATATTATAACAGAGTTTCAATATAATTGTTTTCTTTTACATGGATTTTATTTGGCCACAAAAGTGATTGGTGCATTTTTTATATTAATATGTCTACAGTAATAATGTTGTTTGCAGCTATATTGGAAATTCACAATTTTTTCAAGATTTTTGTATGAATATATTTTTGTAGATATACGTACCTTGTTCTAAAATTTAATAGTAAAAAATTTATTTATTTATTTATGTTAATCGAAGAGATTATATAAATGAAATATGAATATAAATATTGAATTATATTTTATTTTATATTTATCTTTATTTATAAGATATACATTTTTGATATATATTCTACATATTATGTATTTTAATATTTTATGGGATATTTTTACTTTGTTTTCTCTCTCATATCACTTTCATTAAGAATATTTGGTTTTTTTTTTTTTTTTTTTTTTTTTTTTTTTTTCCAAAGATATTTTATGTAGAATGGTCCACTTAAATCGAACATCTTGAACATATTTCACTTTTTAATGATACGAACAAATGTTTCAGATGAACATGAAAGGGTTTCGAGAAGGCCATTGTTTTTTTTTCCTTTTTCTTCTTTTTTTCGAAATTAAACATACCAAAAAGATATGGTCACTTTCACTTATTTAAATGGAATTATATGAGTTTTTTACATAATATGATTCCTCTAATTATTTTACATATAGAAGTGTTAAGGTAGAATTATTGAAAAATTAATAATTTACAAGATATTTTATATTTTATTCTAGCATGTTCTTTCATAATGTAAAATATCTCATAAAACATTCATTTTTTGATAAATCTATCTTAATATTTTTATATATAGAATAATGAGACAAATCAATTGATATAAGGAATAGTTACTTAAAAAGTAGTTACTTAAAAAAAAAGATTATATGTAAGTACTTTTTTTAAGACAACTATATGATTTCTTTACATTTTATTTGTCTCATTATGCTAAGCATAAAAGTATTAGGAACCATTATTAAAAAATTAATAATTTACAAAATATTTTATGTTACATGTTGAAATATACCAGAATATAATATAAAATATCTCGTAAAATATTAATGTTTTGATAATTCTATCTTAATACTTTTATACGCAGAATAATTACACAGAGAAATAATATTATATAAAAAAATCAGTCAAATTCCATTTTAAAAAGTTGAGATAACTTTCATATTTTTTTTGGGCCTCTCCACTTAAAAAAAAATAATATGATCAAAATATGTCCCCCTCGAAACCGTTTCACTTTCATCTGAAACATTTTTTCAAAAATAAAATATTCAAGATGTTTAATTTAAGACCACCCTGCATATATTCTTAATTTTAGATAATATGCAGCAGAAAGTGCCAAGAAAATGAAACTCTGAAACATGAGATACGTATGTTGCTAGAAGATCAATTCTATGTACCTGTATTACGAGCAGAAGGTAATGCATGTCCAGCTATCATTGGGGAACCATTCTCACCAACTAGTCCACTTGTAAGTGTACTTTGTATAAACAAAATTTTAAAAAAAGCATAAATGATATATTTATATTTGAATGATCAATTTTATAAAAGGTGGAATATATTTATATCATTTTTAGAATTTAAACAGAGATCCTATCAGTCCACGTATAGAAGTAAGAGCATTTGCTGGTCCAATGACTAAAACGCAGGCAGTAGAATTTCGAAAAAAATGGAAAACACCACCACGTATTACCCCTAAAAAAGGACAAAGCGATGTATTCAATATTATGAATAGTCCTGGTATAACTTTGAGATTACAAGATACAGAAAAAGGATTGGAATACGTTGGAAGGTACATATTTGTATGTGCATGCTGTTGCGTGCACGTATACACATATATGCATGCATAT